AAATATTTATGATTGTTATGTCTTGTTGGTGTATGGTTCCCTTAAGCAGTATGTAGTGTCCCTCTTTATCCCTTTTGATTAACTTTGGCTTGAAATCTATTTTATTTGATATGAGTATGGACACTCCTGCTTGTTTCTGAAGTCCATATGAGTGATATGATTTTTCCCAACCTTTCACCTTCAGCCTATGTATGTCTTTTCCTATCAAATGCGTCTCCTGTAGGCAGCATATTGTTGGGTCTTGTTTTGTGATCCATTCTACTAGCCTGTGTCTCTTAATTGGTGAGTTTAAGCCATTAACATTTAGGGTTATTATTGAGATATGGGTTGTTCTTCCAGCCATATTTGTTTATTTCTGTTACTAAACATGGTTTGTTTTCCTCTTTGATTATTTTCCCCCCTTTACTGTCCTACCTCCCACTGTTGGTTTTCATTGTTATTTTCCATTTCCTCTTCCTGTAATGTTTTGGCGAGGATGTTTTGAAGAGATGGTTTTCTAGCTGCAAATTCTTTAAACTTTTGTTTATCGTGGAAGGTTTTAATTTCATCTTCCATCCTGAAGCTTAATTTCGCTGGATACACAATTCTTGGTTGGAACCCATTTTCTTTCAGTGTTTGAAATATGTTATTCCAGGATCTTCTAGCTTTCAGAGTCTGTGTTGAAAGATCAGCTGTTATCCTGATTGGCTTACCCCTAAATGTGATCTGCTTCCTTTCTCTTGTAGCTTTTAAAATTCTCTCCTTATTCTGTATGTTGGGCATCTTCATTATAATGTGTCTAGGTGTGGGTCTCTTATGATTTTGCACATTCGGCGTCCTGTAGGCTTCTAGGATTTGGGGTTCTGTCTCATTCTTCAAGTCTGGGAAGTTTTCTCACATTATTTCATTGAATAGATTGCTCATTCCTTTGGTTTGAACCTCTATCCCTTCCTGTATCCCAATGACTCTTAAGTTTGGTCTCTTTATGTTATCCCATATTTCTTGGGATGTTCTGCTCATGGTTTCTTAACAGTCTTGCTGAGCTGTCTATGTTCTTTTCAAGTTGAAATAGAACATCAGACAATGAAAACAAACTATCTTCTAAGTGTTCTACTCTGCTGGTAGTATTCTCCATTGAGTTTTTAAGTTGGTTTATTGCTTCCTGCATTTCTAGGATTTCTGTTTGTTTTTTATAACCTCTATCTCCCTGTATAGTTGATCCTTTGCTTCCTGGATTTGTTTGCATAATTCATTGTCGAAGTGATCTTTCATTGTCTGATTTTGCTGTCTAATGTCTTCCTTGATACTCCAGATCATCTGAAGCATGTATATCCTGAATTCTTTATCTGACATTCCATCTGCTGCAGCTGTTACCTCTTCTAAAGTTGCGTTGACCTGCATTGCTTGTGGTCCTTTCTTTCCTTGTCTTTTCATACTGCTTGCGTATCTTTCCTGCAGGCGCGGGCGGCGGCTCTGCTCTCTTATTCCAATTGGGGTGTCGTGGCTACCACGCCGGCAGGTCACTGGGCCTGTTCTGGGCGCTGGCGGCGGCTCTGTTCTGCCCCTACTCCAATTGGGGTGACAAGTGTACCACGCCGGCAGGCCACCGGGCCTGATCCGCCGGTCGGTTGCAGGTTTGCCTACCCTGCAGGCGCGGGTGGCGGCTCTACTCTGCCCCTACTCCAAATGGGGTGACGTGTCTGTCGTACCGGCAGGCCACTGGGCCTGTCCCGCTGGTCGGTCGCAGATCTGCCCACCTTTCGGGCACGGGTGGCGGCTCTGCTCTGCCCCTACTCCAATTGGGGTGTCGTGACTACCCCGCCTGCAGGTCGGTGGGCCTGTTCCTGGCACGGGCGGCGACTCTGCTCTGCCCCTACTCCAATTAGGGTGGTGTGTGTACCACGCCGGCAGGCTCCTGGGCCTGATCCGCCGGTCTGTTGCAGGTCTGCCTACCTTGGAGGCGCGGGCGGCGGATCTGCCCTGGCCCTCCTACCACGCCTGCGGACCCCTGGGCCTGATCTGCAGGTTGGTCACAGGTCTGCTCACCCTGCGGGCACGGGTGGCAGTTCCGCTCCGCCCCCACTCCAATTGGGGTCACGTGGCCACCACACCGGCAGGGCCTGATCCGGGCATGGGAGAAGGATCTGCTCTGCCCCTACTCCAGTTGGGGTGACGTGTGTACCACACTGGCAGGCCACTGGGCCTGACCCGCCAGTCTGTGACAGGTCTGTTTACCTTGCAAGCGCGGGCGGCGGCTCTGTCCTGCCCCTCCTACCACGCCCATGTACCACTGGGTCGCGGGTCTGCCCACCTTGCGGGTGCGGGTGGCGGCTCCACTCCGCCCCCCTCTCCAATTGGGGTCACGCGGTCACCACGCTGGCGAGCCGCTGGGCCTGCTCCGGGCGCTGGCGGCGGCCCCGCTCCTCCCCTCTGGCTCGACAACAAATTGAGGAGACTCGGGTGTCTGTGCCTCACCCCCCCTACCAGGAGACCAACTGTTTCTGTCGCCGCTGGTATTGATGAAGTTCTCTCCTCTGCCGCTTTCTGATGACATCAGATCTCTGCCATGTTGGTATCCTATGCGAATGGCAGCATTTCGTTCCCCTTGCCGGGCAACCAAAGCAACGGGTGAGTCCTGACCGGCCCTCAGCAGGACTCGGACCGAAAAGCAGTTTCCGTGGGCTCCTAGCCCTGGGCCAGGGCAGTTCCGGGAGCCGGAACTCGGCCGCTCCGTGCTCGGTGTAAGCTCCGATAAGAGTAGGCTCCAAGAAGCAGTCCCCACGGGCTCAGTTCCGGGAGCCGGAATTCGGCCGCTTAGTGCTTGGTGTATGCTCTGATAGGAGCAGGGTCCAAGAAGCAGCCTCCGCAGGCTCCCCAGCCCTGGGCCAGGGCGGTTCCGGGAGCCGGAACTCGGCAGCCCTTGCTCGGTGTTCGCTCCGATAAGATCAGGTTCTAAGAAGCCCCCAGGCACTGAACCCTAGCAATCTGTCTGCAAGCTGCAGGCGAATGGCAGCCTGAAATTACCTGTTCTATGGCTGAATCACTATTACTTCTATCTTTAAAAGTGGTCTGTCTCTGCCATCTTACTGCCTAAAACAAAGTAAATTTTAAAACTCCAGGACAAAACAACAACAACAAAACTTTCTCTTATTTGAGCTTATACACAATTATTACTATAGAGTGCTGTCTTAGTTGCCTTAACAAAGAGATCTGATCTCAGGGAGGCCAACTCCATGATTTACAAATGCCTTCAGAATTGGGGCCGTGGCCAGGCCCTGACCTTGGAGCTTAGAATAAGCACTGAGTGAACAGGCTACCAACCAACTAAATGTCAGACAATAGGGAGTTAAATTATGGAAAAGCTATTAGTTAATCCATGTTGACAGCCAATAAGACTTCATGCAGTCTAATGATATGTGGACAAGCCTTACACTATAACATTCAGTAAGAAGGCTGGAAGGATAGATGCCCAAACACTAGATGATTCCTAGCAGGCTGGAGTATTTCAGGGGATTTTTCACTCATTTCCATTTTCCAGGGATCCCTTCACAATGTTTTAGTAGGTCAGTGGTTCTACAATGTGATACCCAAACCATCTGCGTGAGTATCACCTATGAACTTGTAAGAAATGCAAATGATCGCCGAGCCCCTCCCCCGCCCTTCAGAATCAAACTTGATGTGTTGGGTTCAGCAACCTGAGCTTTAATAAGCCTCACAGCAATTCTTATGCATCCTCCAGTTTAAGAATTGTAACAAATAGGAGTTTCCATTTTCACATGTCTGATTAAAAAAAAAAGCATCTTCAACTATATTGACCATTTCCAGTTTATATAGTACTGAAACTTACTTTTGTTGAATTCTTAAAGAACAAGTAGTATCCTATCATTAAGGAAGGTGCAGGAAGGTGCTTTGACAATACAACTCTGAAGGCAGGAGATTTTGCCTGGGTAACCACTAAACTTCTATGGATTAAGGTTCAGAATATTCTCATTCACTTAGTAAAGGGAGGAGGAGAGAGAGGGGACCAGGAAAGGTCCAGGCAAGATCTTGCTCCAGAATAATCTGAAAGTGACTTCATCTTCATCAACAGGGCTTGGGGCTTCTCGGGCAAACTTGAAGCTATTTGGGCACTTCTAGTTCTCAAGTGAATTTCTTCCTAATAAAACAGAAAGGGCTGCCCAGGACCAGCAGAAGGTCCACTCCTAACCAGACCATGGCCCAGATAACAGAGTCTTGGCCTCAAAACTGGCCCAGGGACTATGAAACCCTTTACTTCTACTGTCAGAATTAAGTCCTTATAAAGGGGGAAAGAAAAAAGATGGTTTTCTGACCCTAAAACACAATTATTTACAGCAGGAGTGAACCTTTAGGAAATGTTCCTGGCTCTGCACTTTTATCATCTGCTCTGAGCCCTCCCAGCCCAGGCCCTTCTCATGAAGTCCTGGCTGACTTAGGCAGCGAGTAAAGACGGACAGGACCTGCTCTGGCCAGTTCCTGCCATCGCAGGCAACTGTTTCCTGAGGATCTTCAGCAGAAATGCCCTCCCCCACCCCCAATGATAAAATGCTCAAATACTTTGGGGAAAGAATATTCTACCCTAGATTCCCCCCTCCCCCCCCAAAAAAAAACACCCTCCCGAGTCAGTGGGCCTTTCAGATCATCTAGTAGTTTCAGTGGAGTAGTTTTTTTTTTGACATGTGATGGCACCAGTGAAGGGGCCAGCAGCAGAGATGGCAATAGATGGCAAAAGGACCATTGCTAAAATACGCAGCAGAGTCCAGGGATGCGGAGAATGTGCCACCCAATGCTAGGGACCTGAGGGACACAACCAAGCGAGAATATTCTCCCATCTGTGGCTTCACAGCCACTTCCATGGTTTCTGCCTCCAAAGTGGACCTCTCAGGAAGAGGCAAGGATGCTGCCTATATAAGCCCCTTCAAGGATTCTTACGATTGTCACCCCCAACTCAAGCCCCCGCAGTCCTGCTACCAGCATAGTAACTCCAGCCAGGAAGGCTTTACCTCCATGATGGGACTGGACGCCAGGACCTTCTCCTCGATGTTGGTTTCACTGGCTGAGCCACCGACCGTGGCAAAGTAGCGCATGGCATACTTGGCTGACACCGTCTTCCCAGCTCCCGACTCCCCACTGACTATGATGGATTGGTTCTTCTCATCTCTGGAAGGGAAGCAGCTCTGGTCAGTCATTGGCCAAGGAAAGGCTCTGCTGCCTTTCAGGGACTCTGTCTGACAAAGGGCTGAACCTGCGGCATCTCTCCCACTTTCAGGATGAATGTGAAATGACAGTGTAAAAATAACCTGCCCTCCATCAACAGGCCTGTGCAGGATCTGAAAGCGGGAAGAAGCCAGCCATTCTGAACAGGGTTTACAAGTGCACATGACTGCCTTTACCACCCACAAGAAGGCAGAGGCGGCCAGCCAGTCACTCTCCAGGATCCTGGGCACAGCACCCCTCCCTCCCTCTTACATACATCCCAAGGATTTACAGATACACTTTCATCTTTATTTCTCCAACATGCCCACCCTGTGCCACTGTGCAAGTTCTAGTGTCTGAGAATAAGGATGTTTCTTCTCTTGCATTGAGCCTAGCATGCTGACAGGCATGGATTTGAACATTTCAGCTCCTACAGCTGTATCACAAAGTACATGCTAGTAGCCACCAGCCTCATCTTGCCTCACGTTTCCCAGAAATTAGATAGAAGAGCTATCAATTGCAGTATGAGGGAATTTAGGGCAGACTAAATGGAACGCAGAAAGAAGATATCCTATGTAGGATAAAAAAAAAAATGCATCTACCTTTATCTCCTTAAAACAGTAGGAAGACAGACAAGTAATGGACATTAGTCTATCGGGTCTCTAAGGAACATGATTTTAGAAGCAGACAGCAAGAACACTGGTGCCACAGATTTGGGAAAATGAGTTGCTATAAGGGCTGGACTCAACCACTCCTCCAGTTCCCAAACCCACCACAAGGGCAAGCACTCCAACGCCCAGCACTAGCAACAGTGCCCAGCACAAGGCTCATCCTCAATGTGAACCGCTGGGCTGCAAGCCACTTAGGGCTTCGCTGATTGTAAACCTCTTTTCTAAATGAAAATGGGCTTAGAACTCAGGATTCCTGGTGCCAGCTCCTGTGGCTTCCTAGGCAGAGTGGGCCAAGGAAGAACCCAGTAGTCACCACAGGTGGCCTAGCACCTTCTTGCTATCAACACAGGGAGGCTGTAGCTTACCAACACGTGTGAATGAACACTGGCATCTCTCCTGAACTAGGCCAACAGCCAAGAAATCAGAAAAGTGATGTCATGACAGAAAGGAATCTAATTTGATATAGACTAGATGGACAGAAGAGAACCCACATGGAATGTACAACTTAAACTTAAAAAGAAATGTGGGAACACCAGGGGGGTAATTGTGAGGGCCAGGCTGAAGAGACCTCATCTGTGAGCCACTCTTCAAGGACATCAAGGTGCTATACAGTCTCAGCTCACCCAAGTTGTGAGCAATGGGGAGGGACCTGAGTGCTCTCAGTGGCCAACAGACACTCAAGATGAAGCTGAAAAAATGCATCTTTCAAACTGACTATCCAAACAATGATTTGGCAACTTATACAGACTCCTATCAAGTCATGGGAGATGGAATTACGGTGGCTTTTGGAGATCCCCTCGTAGTTCTAGTACACTATTGTTGTCCTCAGAGCATCTGTCTCTGTGTCCTGTGGTATCTTTACACTGAAAGGTGTAATATCATTGCAAAATCTCCCTGTATGTTGGCATCAAGGAGAACTGGACTGTAGCAGCCAGCCTCTGTGTGTGTGTGACTTAAAGTAAGTGGATGAGTGTAGGATTCGACTTGGTCTTAGTCCTCAGCAAAGAACCACACAGAATGGAGAGGGACATACTATCCAGAGTCCTCAACAAGAACCAACATGTGGATGACAGGGGAGGAAGCCCATCAGCAGGCAGGGAGATGGGAAGTCCATGGCAAACTGGACTGCAAGGGGACCCAGAAAACTAATGCACTTGATAGAGAAGGTAAGAACCAGTGACCCTTGTCTACTTCACTTACAGCCCTGCACTGCTCAGGAAACAGAATGACTCAGACAAGAGGTAGGAAAGTTTTAGGAACAGGCACACCATTTAAGGCTAAGTAGCCAGTTTATGAGACAAGTGTGGAGAGGTTAGAAGAAAGAATCAAAAGCAGCAATCTGACAAGAATAGCAGGATGAGCAGGTTCATGGTAGAGACAGTATCAGGAATTATAAATGCCCCCAATGTGGTATACTACATTTGAGGCTCTTTGGAGGAACAAGTATAGGAAATGACCATGAGTGCTAGCTCCTAATTGGATGGATATTAGAGTGGATACTAACATGAAGGCTAGAGTCAGATAAATTCACCTCTTACACCAGTGAGTGCCTTTCAAAATTTCCCTAATTGAGACTGATGTAAAATGTCTGGGGAAATTGATGTCTTATTTAACTCTATGCACCTGTGCACATAGTACCCACATCCCTAGCTTATTGCAGGGCCAGGTGCACATTTGGTACGCGTACACTATTGCATCGCAGTGCCTAAGGGACAACACTGAACAGCACTCTCAACCTCATTCAACACATTATCTTTCCTTCCAACTCATTATTAGACAACTAGAATCCACAATACAGGCATTAATAACAGACTTGAATTTCAATTTCAGTTGCACTGTGATTAGCCATCTGACTTTGGAAAAAGTAGTAATTTATTTGACCTCCAGATAATCTCAGTGCAATCTCTTGGGATTTGAATCCCCAAAGCCCAAGCTCTTGATTTGGTACAGGGATCTCCAATTCATCCTAATACTTCTGCCAGATTAGATTTCTAAAGCACAGCTCTAATTAAGTTTTCTCCTTTCAAGAAAGCTAAACAGCAATTCATTGCTTATCAAATCAAGTCCAAACTCCTTAGCTGAGCATTTGAATCCTTCTACAATGCACAACACTGAAGCCCTTAACAGATATGGGGCAAAGTGAGAGAATACTGGATATGCCCCAAGTCCTCATTCTGCCATCGACAGACTCTGTAAGCCACTTAACTGCATTTTAAAGCAAACTTCACGTCTCATACATCTGCACAAGACTGTATAGGAAGATCTCCACACCTCCTCTAAGATGGTTTATGGTTCAGCCACATAGGGCTACACAAGTCCCTGAAGATGGCACACATTCCCCGCACTGCTGTTTATGGTGTCCCGAGGCCACCTTCAACACACCCCTTCCACTGATGTTCTACCTACGTCCAATGTCAGGAAGTCAGTCTTAACTCCCTGCCTTGGCATCCCAGAAGGCAATTATTTCTCCATCTCCTAGAGTCTCACGTCACTTGTTCTGTGCCACTTTTAAGACACTGACATTTCATCCCACACTGTTGGTCTCCATGGTGGCTTTACCCGTGATATGACTGTCAGTCACTTCCTTTTTCTGGTCCTTTGTCTTTTCATTTCTAAAGCACGGGGTCATGGCTTCGAATTTCAGTCAAACGTCTCTTGGAGACCAACAGAAAACAAAGGTAGTGAAAATCTCCTTGTCCCAAATTTCAAGTATCCAGGACTGGTAGTAGGGAACGTTGGTAAAAGTATGGACTCCTACCCCATGTCCTTCCAAAGTGTGGCTCCCTCCATTGAGTCCAATTACAGAGATGACAGTTGGCAACCTGGGCCAATATGCTTTTCAGTAAATCCTCCTTTCTTGAGCCCAGGGATATTCCCTTTCTGTAATAAAGCAAATCACAGTCAAGGAATTTAGTGCCCTGTTATTGCTCACATTCTGGCCATCTTCAGGAAACACCCCAACATAAATACACCCTTGAAAGCCTGTACTTGAGACAAGAGCACAGGACTCCAAAGGGGCTCAGCCATTCCTCAGGTTCCAGGTAAAACGGCGAGCGTGCACATGCATGCATGCACATATACACACCACTCTCCCCCAGCTCACATCATAACCCCTCAGTATCTGAGAGTTGAGATTTAATGGCTTCTAAGCCACTTTCCTACAAAAGTTTCCCATCAACCCACTATAGCATTTCAAGTTCTTGAGCAGGACGAACCTCCCCTCATCACTTCTATTGGGACCCCCAGGCAACGAGAGTGGTGCAGGTGGCTGTAAAGGCAATCGAGTTCTCCCTACCCAATGGAGTGTGTTCTGATCACCAGGGAGCCACTCTGGAGCAGTGTTTCAAGAGCCACTGCTGAAGTGTCACCTTGCTTGGGCGCTCTGCAGATTCATTTGTCACCTGCAGTCTCCAACCAGCAATATGTACAGACACCAAAGGGAAATCTGGCTCAAGTTACCTCCGAACTGGGGAAGCAGCCCTGGTTTTGTCCCAAAGATCTGAGTTCCCAGCACTATCTGGGCAGTGACCGGCAAGGTCAGGTAATCCCTTCTGAAGACTTATGCACCCCCCATCCTCCCACCCATGTTCTGACAGCTGCAGTCAGTTCACAAGCTACTCATTAAAGCCAAGGCTCCATGAGGGCAGGGCTCCTGACACCAAAACCTATCTAGCCCCTCCTGGCCCAGGGCCCTCTCCAAGTAATCACCCCCAGTCTCTACTCATCTGCTCCAGCCAGAACCCTGGGGTCAGTGGAAATTCCTTCCTCTGCCTTGAATTCATCTCCAGGATACAATCTGCTCTATTCTCTGCACTTTCAGTCCAAGCCATCATCATCTCTGACACACATTACACTAAAGCTTTCCAGCCTCCCCCAATATCTCATATGACTTTCTGAACATGAATACTGGCTCTATCTCCCCTTGCTTTAAGCCTTTCAATGGGATCCCTGTGAATAAGAGCCACGCTCTACTGTGTTTGAGGCCCAGCACCTCCTGCCAGCTGCACCACCTGCCACTCTTGATTGATTATATCCGAGCCACCTGGGCTTCTTTAGTCTCTCCCACTTTGTGGCAGCCTAAAGCTCTTCCAGCTCAAACTAATTTTTCCCTTCTTTGATCTCATGGCTCTTAATGCTTGGTATTTGATCATTCTGCTTTATGGCAGCTCAAGGATAACTCCTTTTTAATATAATTAATTAACCACCTATTTACATCATGCTTAAATGGTTTACAAAAGTCTTAGCCATGTACTCTTGCTTATGGTTCACAAAATCCCTGGGTGTTAGCCTTCT